TTTGACTTGTATTCTCTACTATATGTCCATTGATCATAATTAAATTGATGAAGCCAGTAATCAAATTACAATAAACTGATATAATTAGATAAGTCTGGACAAGTTGAACATTTGGAACACTGGTCAGGTCAATTTTTTTTCTATTTTTTTTTTTTTTTTTTTGATAAACTGAATGATTCAATCTTAATGTTTCTATAAATTTGAAGCAAATCCTATTACATATAAATATGTATATAGTCATTTTTCCTGGTCATGATAACGGTCAGGACACGGTCAACCCGAAAAAATATATTTTCCCCCTATTTTTTTAGTAATATCTTATTAATTATGGATCAAAATTTAACAATTTAAATTTTTTTAAAATAAAATAACAAAGAAATTAGGACATTGCATCGGTCAGGTCATTGTCGATATTGCTCAGGTCATTCTCAACGTTGGTCAGGTCACGTTTTCGCAAGCTTTGAATAACTTTTTTCGTTTTTTTTTTCTTATATTTATGTATTAAATGATGAAATTTTATTATATTTCAAATTTTAGATAAATCCTTTGAGAAATAAAAAAAATATCAGCATTTTCATTTGGTCTTGTCATTTTCCTGTCATTGTCCTGTCATCGGTCCAGTCATTAGTGTAACCCATATTTAGATAATACTTTGTAAGAAAGTTTTTGATTGGTTGACAAAAGTGCAAAACTTACGGTATGGAATGAAAAACTTACGGTATATTAATTACGAATCAACGCGTTAGTTTTTACAACCAACGCGTTGAAAATGATAACCAACGCGAACTGGAAGTTAAAAACAACGCGTTGAAAGGGAAAACCAACACGTTGAAAGTAAAAACCAACGAATCGAAAATTTCATACGGTATGTTTATACCGCCAATGACACGAACGGCCACTCATAGCGGGGGGGGGGGGGGGGGGGGGGCATTAGTTCGTTTCTTATGAACATACAGGAACAATATTTTTTTATCTCAGTATCGTATTTCTTTTTATCCCTAATTCTAAATTGATATGAATTAGTTTTTTCCTGAATGATTGAGGACCACTTAAAAAAAGTATGTAACCCTCCGAAACATAAATATATTTAAACAGGACGGGTACACTATCATTCATTGGCATACTAACGTTCCCGCTAATATAATTGTTTGATTGCATAATAAGCAATATTTATTGACTTAGAGAATTGACCAATCCATTGAATGGGTTGCAATGCATGATGGACTACTACGTACTTTATCGAGAACATGCGTGTTTCAGTGAACTACAACTCACTCTTTCTTCTTTTGTTTCTACGTTTAATAAAGCATAAGTTGTATTCTCAGATTAAAATAACCATCGGAGAGCTGATGAACTGTAACACCTGATAACTTGTAGTTTACTACGTCAACAAAACCCCGTAATAGTGTTATAACCTATGTGTTACATGGAGCTTCATACATGGTTAATGCATAGACGTTTTACATGTCCTACTCCTGACGTTGTCTAGTTTGCCGCCCCTCCCCTTTTCCTTTTCGAAATACTGGATCTGGATCTGATTTCCTTATACGGATATGCAATATTTAGCATTCTAATGCTTCCGCCAATACATGTATCAGTGTTTGTTTACAAATAATGTTTTTTTTCTCTGGGCAGTTGACCGACCAATCCACTGAATGAGTGGCAATGCATGATGGACTACTATGTATTTACAATTGCTTATAACTGCATGACATACAACACAATTTTAAACACATCGCCGAAAAAAGAATTCATTTTTATACCTTTTCTTTAAAAATCGACATGTTTTACATTTGATATATTTTTCCATAATTTAATGATATTAGCTCTGCACATTTATTGTTATTTCAAGTGAAACTGTTGGGTGTGATGATAAAAAGAGTGTTTAAAACAAATTCCTTTTAAGTTTTGTTGAAAGAAAGGTTAATTTTATGTATCGAAATGTGAAACAAGTGATTATTTAAATCCCCACTGGAAGGCCTCCGACAGACTGAGTGAGCGTAAAATCATTGTTATCGATAGCCGATGACAAACAAGTTAAAGGTAAATGATTCGGTATTATTAAAAACATAATCATTACGGTTGTCCACACTGTTATGGGACTACCTCTATTTATTATTTTAACTCAGTTGTGAAGTGAAAATATACTACCTATAGAGAAACTTTAATAAAAAAAAATCCTAAGTAGTTTCCCGAAAACTTTGTTGTGGACACAAAACTGTTAACTTTCGCAAATTTTAAACTTCCGAATGAACAAAATATCCGAATTTTCAAATACTTCCAAGATTTTATGAAAAGGTCAAACAGATTTCTTGTATACCTTCATAAAGTGTTATTGATCATCATCACAAAAATATATTCTCAATCCTTGCTTCTTTTATTTTTTTCAATTATAGTTCTTATAATATCTAATGAACTGTTAGCTGCACATGCATGCTCAAATTGTTATACCGGCATATGTTTTCATGTTGTTTTAAAGAGTGGACTTTATTATACATGTTTCGGTTTCTTAGAGAAAGCATTTAAGAATAATGAAATTACAAAAGTCATAACTCTGGAATTTCAACCTTCTACATGTAGGTCAAAGTGTATACCGCAACTTCAAAAGTTGAGAACGGTTCTGAACAATATGATTTATTTTTTTATATTCATTTCAGTTAAACATGGGGAAAAAAGAAATCTTTATTTGGTTGTGTGCTCTTTGTGTTGCTCAAATTCAAATTTAATTTCAGAGGTCTTATATTTTATTTATACAGTTGTTTTGACGACAAATTACTGACCATTAGAGAATTTGGCCTCTAATGGATAGTTGTCTCATTGGCAATTATATTACGTCTCCCTATTTTTATATTGAGGAGATAAAAATAAAAGTTGCTTAAGAGGAAAGCTTGTGTGTAGCTTTTGTTTAAGACTTCATATCAGTTCACAGGTTTTGCAAAATTTGGATGTTTTTGAATATGTTGTTTGAATTTAAATCTCAAGCCATGGCTACCCCTACAAGAATCCGTTGAACAACTTATCGGTACATACTTTTACATTTCTGAGGTAACATCATCAGAAAACTCGAATTTTAAGAATAATTTAAGAAAAAGGAAGTCAGATTACACACACTGAAGAACAAACTGTAATAATAAGCATGCATTTTTCAGTATTCTATAGGGATACCAGCCTATTCAAACTTATCATATTATATGACAGGCTATAGGTTTTATTCTTGTTTGTCTAGATTTATAGAAAATAAAAATATTTAATAAATTCATCTATTCGGTGCAGTTTTATCAAAATGAGCTTATGGCTGGAGAAGAACATCCATTGTAACCACAGAACAAAAGTGCTTCATGCTATGTCTATTTTAACACCTCATTTTATGGTGACAGACGAACTAGTAATTGTGCACTCCTTTTTGGCAGTTTGTTTGATGAAATAACTTTTATTCTATCGTATACATTGTTTCAAACGGTTACATTTATTTGAACATAATTGTCAAATTATTTCATTAATATTATCTGCAGATGCACATCAGTTGTATATCGATTCTTTCCTAAATTTTTGAAAATGTATCATAATTGCAGTCTTCTTTAAAAGAGAGGCGAATGATACCACAGGGACATTCAAATTCATAAGTCGAAAATAAACTGACAACGCCATGGCAAAAAAAGAAAAATGTTCATGGTTTGGTTGAAAATGCTCATTTACGTGTATATAACGGTGATCTGTTTAAATATTGATTTGATTTAATTTATTTGGGTTAAGGTTTAGATGTGCATATTATATCCCAATGAAGATTCAATGAGGACCAAAAGCGCCCAAACAGAAATATATATTTTATGAAAACTTTGAGATAAATTAATGCATCTCCCGCTTACCCTTTCAATGCATTATTTATTGTAGTTTTTACATATGATTTTGAATTTTCAAGTTTACAGGATTGTACTATCATGAACATTTTACAGTTGACTCTGTTGTATGTTTTTGTCTCATTGGCAATCATACTTCATTTCCTTATTTGTGTGATTCCAGTATATCTACCAGATGATAACAGTAAGCATAACTGTTTGATTGTTCCACAAAAATATAATTTGAATGAGGTTTTTTGTAAAGAAATATTCTTAGATAGATCACGAAAAGACATAATAACGTTGTATAGATCAAAATAAAAATAAACAGTAATGAAAAAAATCCCATGGTTACAAGGAACGTGCAGAATGGAGTCTCCTGATTTGAGTAGGAAATGGATTTGCAAACTATTGATGATATCAAGTTTTTATATTTATTTTTTGTTGATATTAAAAAAAATTTTTTTTTTCATTTGCCTTGAATTTGTGTAAGAATGTATTCACTGATTGATATTGCTTCACATCTATATATGATAATCCTAACTACATTTAACATGCTAAAGCATTCAACCAAATGTAAACTATATTTATGTTGTTGTTATTTGTATTGTTCATATTTGTATGTATGAGTGTTTATCTGTATTGTTTGTTTGTTGTTTTTTTTTTTCAATTGGTTTATCATTGATATGGCTTGGTTAGGATTTGTTATGCCTTAGAGTCGTTACCAACCAAAATATTGAAATACATATAGATCCTTAATGGAAAAGCATTTAAACCCCTTTAAAACTGTTAACTTAAAATATATTTCTCTCTACAAATCCTTCAACGGACAAATACTCTGTGTAGCTACATCATTTTTAACAAACAATAGTACATGTACTTTTAAACCGAATAACAAGTTTGTATACTATTTTTTAACCTTCTAAAGAAATATCAGTACTAGTTTATTGACAAGGCTATAACTAAGTTCAAAAGGTTAGTTATATACAAACTTTAAATGTATTGATGCGAAAGTTTGATTTAAAATTTTCAGTTTTCCAGACAACACAAAATTTTGTCATTTAGTGATAAATATGTGTAACCAATCATTTAATTAGTACGGCTGGGTATATAAGCAGACTGTTGTCGCAACTTCGATTAGAAGTTGGAAAACGCCATGTATATTACTTTAGTCATTTGTTCTTGTTTCGTTACTGTTTTTAGTTTTCCGAAAGGTTTCATTTCCCTGGTACCAATCCCATCGGAAAACTTTGAATTTTACGATGTTTTGGATACAAATAAGCTTTTTCATTTGTTTTGGAAATTCAACGAGACACATATAACGTTTGAACTTCATGCGAAGACACGAGGCTACATTGGGTTTGGATTGTCACCGAATGGTAAAATGTTTCCGTCCGACGTTGTTATGGGATGGGTAAAAAATGGAAATGTACATTTTGCAGTAAGTAAAATATTTAACTTTTGCCATAACTTCTGATTTTTACGATGTAAAAGTCATCTTTTAATAGAAAAAAAGGAAGAATAAATTCATCATTGATATTAAAGCCTTGAAGAAGAAATTGTAAAATAGATTAAAATAATACAAAAAACTCTAGGAAAATGAGCAACATTGTATACAAATCAAACTTATAGGTTGATTGATGTCACTTTCATACAGCTGCAAAATGGAGCAAAATATTTAATGTAGTTCTAGGAATTTTTACTACGTATATAATGACGAAAAATTCGGACATATTTTTATTCGAATAAAATAATGCAAAATTCTGACATATTTTTGTTCGAATAGAATAATGCAAAAGTCGGTCATATTTTTGATCGAATAAAATAATGCAAAATTCGGACATGTTTTGTTCGAATAAAATAATGCAAAATATGGATACATTTTTGTTCGAATAAAATAATATAAAATTCGTACATATTTTTGTTCGAATAAGTTTTGTATTTTTTCATCGTCCACCTAAGCCATATATGTAATGTTTATAAATCGGACGAGAAACGTAAGACAAGCAACGTGTGACATGACTGTTTATTACATATAAAAGTTGCCCTCTTCTACAAAGCCTCTCTCTCGGAAAATTATGCTCCTGAAAAAAATACCCGTTATTGATTTGGTTTACATATTTCCATTTTTCAGTTCTCAGCAGAATTCCTAAATCAAATAATTCAAATATTATAGGAGACGCTTCTCGAAGTGTCAAAAGATACTTTCTAAGCTGTACAAAGAAGAGGGAATATTGCAGTACCCTCGATGTTCTAGGTGTCCCATGTACTTAAGAAACCGTAATCAATATGATCATGAAATTAAGGGGATACAGATTGCCCCCAAAAAAACCGAACATATCATCGTAGTGTTGATCAACCTCGTGTAGTCAATCTTGAAAATAAATGCATTCAAATTGAAAAAAATGCTACTTTTGAATTGCAAAGTTTTTTATCAAACTACAGGAATAAATAATTATTTATGAGAAAAATGAAATTCATTTTTGATCCGTGCTACCATTGAGTTTTCGGTAAATTCGTATTAAAAACTCATCAAAGATACCAAGCTAATAATTATTGGTACGCCAGACACGTGTTTCGTCTACATTCGACATATCAAAAACAAAGTTGAAGACCAGTGAAAACCAATAATTCCAAATACGACTACGACTATTTATGCCAGGGGTAGAAATACCTTAGAGTTTCAAATAATTCAATATTTTATAAACAATAAATTTACAGAAAATGAACCTATAAATAATATTTCCTGTCAACACAAAAGTGCTGATTGCTGGGCTGTTGATACCACCGTAGAAGAAACGTCCCCGGCCGTGACATCGACCCAGTGGCTGGAAGTCCTAATCTGATACGAATTACAGCTACTTTCCCCTGTAGTTGTTTCTCTCTCATAGTCGAAGTCGGAAATTTAATGACCCCTTGGAAACTCAATATCATAATTTTTATATCATTTACTCATGGCGTTTGATTACACTTGTCATCATAATGATAAACTGACATGCTTTTGTATTTTTGCATGGAACGATAACCATAATCAAATTAAAAAAAAACATCTTTACGGAAAAAAACGTTAACCTAATGGCAGTACATTACGCACCGTTCTAAGCTTCCTTAACATTTGATATCAAGATTATTTTTTCGAAATTACGACACAAACACTCAACTTTTTTAACCTTGTGATCGGTCATTTCCAATGTTTTTTGGGCCAGGATTAAGTTGATAAAAAGAAAACATGTGTTGCAATTTTTAAAGGAATGCATGTTTTAGTATATTCAAAATGTGAAAAAAGGTCACCTTAGTGCAAGAACTACGGAGTTTTTACATGGGAAACGGATTGGCAAAAAGTATTAAATTCCTTATGCAGTATCTTGACCCATTCGCATTATTTAGGACGTATTTTTCATCACAAGATTTGTGTAAGCGTTGTTTATTTGTGCATTCCCCTTTCCACTAAGCTTGCTCTTTAGATTTCTGACAGTTTCTCAAAATCTTTACATCCATTCAGCAGTTTGTTTATTCTATTTGAATATACTCGTTATTCAATATTTTTTATGTTGCTTTATATATTTCGTATAGGACTACCATACGACTGAACATTCAGCACCAGTGAAGGACCGTTCTCAAGACTATATCTTACTTAACGGAGAAGAAAATGATTTTGGTACTGTTTTAAAGTTTGTTAGAAAACTGGATACATGCGATGAAAATGACTACAAAATATCGGTATGTTAAAATATATTATATGCACAGGCAAACATTAAAATACTTTTGTGATAGTGTTTATCAAAATATGATAACATCTGATTTTAAGGCACTTACAAGTAAGCTCTACTTTGTACACCTTATGATATTCCCTAGAAATAGGCAAAAATTTGCACGAACAGGAAGTAATATTATCCTTTATAGAATAAGAGAAAATAATTTGATATTTACAAAAAAATATTTATGTATACATTAAGATCTAAGATTGTGTTCCCTTTTTTTCCCATCAGAATCAGTTATCGGTTTAAGAAAAATGCATGAATCCTCTAATTCTAAATTACATCTCAATACTTACAAGTCAAACAAAACAAGTTAAAAAAAATACATTTTGCACATACGAACTGAATGTCTATTTGATTTTATTCTGTCACAGTAAATTTGATTCATTTTCGCTCAGGATGACACTGTTAGAATAATATATGCTCACAGTGAAGATGATCCTAATGATGAGAACGATCTGAGATGGCACGGTACAGAGGGTCGTGGTGTTAAATTTATGTACCTCCTCAATGCTGTTACCAAGCCTGACCTATCGGGTAACATTATCACCAGAGATATGACACAGACAAATGTAAGATTATATTTTAAGAACACTTCTAAGCATTTTTAAAATTTGACTTCAATATGGCTTAAAGTTGTGGGATCTTGGTCTTAATTCTAATATTTATTTTGTTTCAATAAGCAAATCGATCAAATCGGTAGGGCAAGTTCTCCCCAATAATCCACTGTATTTGCTTCACTGATATGATAGAAGATATTAAATGTTTGAATTTGAATATTACCGAGTCTAAAATGTGTAATAAAAAGTCTGTTCGACGATTTTATTTACATATATGAAATTAAAAAAAATGAAATCATTCAATTTGTATTCAATTTGTCCAAAATTTAAAACATATGCATTAGCACAAAATGATTTTCATACAAATTTCCATTCCATGTTTTGGTATGTGCCATATGTTGGTTCAAATTTTCAGAGCTTGTAACGAAACCAGTAAAAAATGTTTTGAATTGATGAAAACAAATATTTTTAACACTTCAGACATTAAATATGAAAAAAACCAAGGCTGTCAAGTTGATAATCCTATAACACATGACTTCGGGGCGACATTTTCTTTTTCTGTTTGTTTTCGGATATTTTCTTTTTACTTATTTTGCTATGTGTTATTTTCTATTTGCCATGTTAGTATCAATGTTCTACCGAGAACATTTATCTCTTTTCTTGCTTCCAGGTTTATTTTTTTTTTTTTTTTTACATATTACACGAGATAACGCCTTTGAATTGATGTTGCAGTGTTGTATGATATTGTGTTTTTCCATTGTCCTATTTAGCTAGAACTGTTTCCGCTTTATCTGATGTAATATTCTCTACCCCCGTAGATAGAAGTAAAAGCGGATTCCCTTGAAACTGATAAAGAAAATTCCTTTGATGAGGAAAACCAGGATAAGTTTGTTAATACAAAAATAATTGATCAAACCTTCTTGTTAGAAAGTACTGATTATTGCGGAATGGTTCATTGTTTATGTAACCGTATCTTTAGTTTACCTCCGAATTATGATGTAAGAAAATAAACAAATTAATTCGCATAAATAAACAAACTAGTACTTAAAGGTTTCTTTGCGGTATGGAAATGTCTCGTTGATGAAGGGCGTTCGGTGATATGAAGTTGTTTCCTTGTTTACAGACCTTTGATAGATGCATGTAGTTGTTTCATTTTCACTCATGCAACACTTTTAAAGTCACTTTACAATGTAACAAAACGTTTGAGGTACAGTTAGAAATATGACTCTGAAAGAAGCATACTAAAAATGATAAAAATAAAATAAGGAGATGTGGTATGAATTCAATGAGACAACTATCCAACAGAATTCAAGTGAAGTGCATGTAAGCAACTAGAGTTCATCGTACGGTCTTAAAAAATGAGAGAAAAAACATACCATGTAGTCAGCTATAAATGGTCCGGGCATGACAAATTGTGAAGAAATAAAAAAAAAAACCGGCCTGAATTATGACAAAAGAATAAACGGAAAACAAATATAACAGAGAGCAACCATGGACAACCACTGAATTACAGGCTCCTCAGTAGGGACAGTCATCTATTTAATGTTACTGAATGAAACATGTTTGTTAGCACCCAACCCAAATGCCCACCCCTTACCTGGCCCTGAAAGTAGTGTAACAGCACAACATAAGAACTGAAAAAATCAGTTGGAAATGGCTTACTCATTATATTGGCGGTAAGTACAAAAGACAACTAACATAAAGACAAAAGCCATAAAGTACAGTAAAAGCTTCTTATTTACTATGATATTCAGTAATATCTTGATATTGTACTTTATTGCCAAATCTTATTTGTGGAATATATTCCTGGATTATTCAACATTATATAACACAATTGCCTTATATATAACTCATGAAAGTACAACACTAAGTTAATGTTTTGAAAAGTCATCATCCTATTTTTTAGTATCACGTACCCCCACAAGTTACTACTTACCGGTGTAAAGCATTTACCTTGTCAGATCTAGGAAAGAAACATCACATGATTAAGGTGAGTAGTCACTCGATAATTTGTCAACGATTTATCATATATTTCTAAATTGTAAGTAGAATAGAGAACGGAAACGGGGTGCGCGTCAATGAGACAACAACCCGACCAAAGAGCAGAAAACAGCAAAAGGCCAACAATGGGTCTTCAACGCAGCGAGAAAATCCCGCACCGGAGGCGGTCTTCAGCTGGTTCCTAAACAATAATGTATACTAGTTCAGCGAACTGGACGCCACACTTAACTTCGAAACATACAAATGAACCAACATTACGCATACAAGACTAACTGTGAACATTTGCTATCTGTTTGTATTTTAGAATCAATGTTTATTCAATTGTCAAAAACAAACATTGCAAGGTGGTTATACAATAGCAAAATAAAGATCTGAAGAAGCAATGCCACCAAGTTTTAAAAGTTCACAAGAATTAAAAAGAATTAAATTATACAAAAGATTGGCCCTAAATTTCATCCGAATGGCCTTGACCAAGGGATATTAAACATAAAATGAAAATGTCAATTTCTTAGGGAGACGGCGTGGGAGACTTGCTAAAAAGTATCCATATAAGAGTTCATGTAAATGTTCACCCGTAAAAAATTACGAGGTATATACTATGATTGCAATAAGAGGCCAATGAAATAGATAACACCACAGAACAGCATAATGTATGTTCTACCCGAAATGAGTTTTTTTTCCGCTAATTTAATGATATTATAAACGTAAGTAAAATGTGATGACGGTATATTAATTGTCCCCTCCATTGTTATTTATATATGACTTGTTGATTCCTTCTAATAAGAATATGTGTTCCCCAGATTTCTGTTATAAAGCATAAATTTTGAACAAAGAGAACAATTTTACACAAAGTATGCCTCTACTCAATGAGTGGGTGTTATACTGCGTCCGTCCGTTCATCCTTCTGTCCTTTTGGGATTCTTGCATTGCATATTACTCTGCTGTTATATTATAGAATGATTTGAAATTTATTAGAGACTGTATACAGACGAGTTGCACCGTGTAAGCGATTTTCAGATCTGCGTGACTGTCACTTTTATGATACCTTCTGAGCATAATTTTTTTGCAAAACATTTCTCGGTTTCTGTAATAAAGAAAGATTAATTTTTAGGTCTAGAGCTTTATTATGAGTTATAACGTGAAAGCGATTTTTATCGGAGCTGTCACTTCCTGTTTGACGGTAATTTGATTTTTTGTATACCCCTGAGAATGGATTTTTTTCGTCAGTTCTCTAATGACGAGTGCATGGTGGTATACTTTGAACGTCATCGCATATAATTTCTTGTTATGATATTAATTTAAATGCATTTAACTAGAGATGACATTTATTTGTTTTGTAGTTTGAGTCACACATTCAGCGTGGTATGGAACCATTTGTCCACCACATTCTCGTCTACAAATGTCCCCCACTCACCAAAGAATGGATAAATAAGGACTATTTTTGTTATCTTAATGGTAGAGAAGTGGCACCATGCGGCAGTGTCTTCTTTGGTTGGGAGTATGGAGGACAGGTAAGGTATCAAATTCGTCTTCAGTAACCGCAAATATGACGTCATTTCCTTTCTACTGTTTATATTATCTATTATGAATGATATTTTTCCTACAACAGTTTTCGTGCGAATGAACTAATAATGCATGTCTCGGACCTTAGCTGTCTTCTTACTCTTCGTGTTCTTTTACATATGTATAGCGCAAAAGACATTACAGAGTCTATTTGGAACATTAGCCTTTAAGGATAATTATCTTTGATAGTCTCTCACAAAAATATTAGTGTATGTTACAAATAAATACTGTTATTATATTTGTACAACTATTATGTATAAATATAGCTTTCATTAAAAGTAATAATTATCAAGGAAAAACAGAAGCGTTTGGTATTGGTACACAAAAAAGCAGAACAGAAAATCTAGAGATCAACCTCCGGTCTTCAACAAGTGGCTGGGTCTATACAGTATTAAAATATGTATAATACTAAATGTCTTAACAAGTTTTTATCATCACCAAGTTCTATAAAGAAACTAACGCTGTTTACAATGAAATTAGATACTTAAAAAAAAACGGACGATGTTCTTGATTTGAGGCAGCACCGTTAACATTTTCATCTTTTATTAACAAACATTCTGGTAAATTTGGGTACGTATTAGAATTGTTTTTGGTATATCAAGCAACTTGACTATTTGGTTACTGGCTACTTTACATCATTTGTTCTAATTGAAGGACTTCTATTTCCCCGACAATGTTGGTATGCCTATCGGTGAGCCAGAAGACGATGCAACATATATAATGGAAGTACATTATAACAATCCTGAAATGCGTAGTGGTAAGTATCTTCTTCAGTTTAATTCTAATTCCCTATATCAAAAAAATGTAAAATTCATTTTTGTTAGTTTTGTAGTAGCTGGTACTGCATAAACAGTGAGATTATGTCAATCTCATGAACTGAGAACTTATGTGTTTATTATTGTTTATCGTCTCGGTTTTAAATTTCAGATGATTCTTTTTGTTTTCTGTTTCTTTTGGCTTTTTCGTGCAGGTGAAGTAATTTGTTCCATGATTTGATACACTTTATTTTGTATAGAATACTAGTATAAATATATCGAAGGCATATGAAAATACGTAAGAAGAAAAAATCAATAGAATACAGAAGAAAAAATCAATAGAATACAGAAGAAAAAATCAATAGAATACAGAAGAAAAAATCAATAGAATACCTGTAATAACATGTATTATAGTATTCTATGTTCGAATGACAATCGTTTCAATGAAATTTAAAGTTGTGGAGTACACAGTTAGCTACACACTGGTTGAGCGGTCAGTGGCGTAGCAACTGGAAAATAAATTGTAAGCAGGGGATCTGGGGGCGGCAGCCCCACAGAAGCTGAACGATAATAGTAAAATACTTAGTGAAAAAAAAATGTTTTATAAAATGAATTTGTGTCAACATATACCTACAATGCTACACTGGTGCTACGTCACTGGCTATCTTTGTTTGCTAATCCCAATACAAATGATGTATAAAAAAATACGCACAAAAAATAATACAAATCAGGAGTTTTATCCCTAAAAACAGCACTAAAATTGCCAAAACCAAATAGTGCGTTCTAACAGACCTGTTCCGATAACCGTCTTGCAGCGTGTTTTGTTCTTGTTTTCCATCAGTGTGTTCTAAACATTTTGGGTTACATTAATGTGCACACATCTGAATAAATAAGTAGAAATAAATTCGGCTTTTACGTAATTGAAGAAATAATTCAACACCAAAGAAAAGGTTCGAATTTATGTTTCATTCAAGATAGAAAACTGTTGATGGACAACTACAAACATATATATATATATTTAACTTTAGATCTAGTGGATAGTTCAGGCATGCGCATTACATTTACACCAGACCTCAGGAAATACGATGCGGGACTGCTTACTACTGGAGTTCAAATTGGTCCAACTCATATGATTCCGCCTCATGAAACTGACTTTGTAAACACAGGCTTCTGTCAGGCAGAATGTTTAGAACAGGTAGATAGATAATTTAGTGGTTTAGCTCACCTGGGCAACATGTATCGCTATGCATAGTCGTCTGTTCGTCGTTTTACATTTTTTTTCATCATCTCTGAAACCACCATGTCAATTAAAACAAAACAGGACAATCATAATAAATGCAAGGTCTTTTATAAAAGTTCCTCATTTCGTTCCGATCGGCTATGGAAAATGTCCGCTAGAGGCGATTTTTCCAAAATCTTCTCTGAAACTACATTACGAAAGGTTTTGAAACAATTGATTTACGAATTCAAGACCCACTAAACAAAAATATATGTCCATAGGACACCATACACTGCTGGCAATATCAAATGCCCATGCTCTGTGAACTGTGCAACACATAATAATGAACATGTGTACAAAGTTCCAAGTTGATGTGACCATTACATGATGGTAAACTACCTTTACCCAAAACTTGAGAATGTACTGATTTTACTACCCCTGTCTCTTTATATCTTTATATACTGACCCAAGCAGAAAGTGCTAGAATCCTAATTGAGGTGAGCGACATAAGTTCCGTATAGCCTTTTGGGTTTTTTTTCAGCTAATTTTGACAATTCAAAAAGTATTTTTGGATAAGTGTACCTTTTAGGAATTAAAGATATTTAAGGAATATTTTAGATTCAGGTCATGAAAAAAGGTAATATTCTTTATCTCCAAAAACACAAAAGAACCCATACCGCATCATCTACAGATTAATTGTGCATTTCATGGAAAGTTAAAAAAAATATTATGTGATATTTAAAGGAATATTATACTTGTTTCAGGGACTGAAAGATATGCCAGGCCAGCAAGTCAAAGTATTTGCAGCATGGCAACATTCTCATCTGTTGGCTTATGCTATGACAACAAAACATCTACGAAACGGAAAAGAAATCGAACCATTTGCAGATGATCAAGCTTATGATTTCAATTATCAACAAATAAGGCTTCTCAGAAAAGAAGTTCCATTGAAAATGGTATTGTTTATTCCACCAAGTTAAAGAATGTTAAAGTGTTTGGAGTTGATTGTCATAAAAAAAAAGAAAAACACAAAATCATTTTTATATAAAAGTTCTTAAAACAAAGTACGAGTAAATGTTCTAGTAGTTTGTTTTTTCTGAAAATTTCGTTGTATAAGATATTTGTGGAAAGAAAAGTTTTGAACTTTATTCAAATTTATCACCATTTTTATTCGTTGATTCTGACGAATTTGACTAAAAAAATTAGTGAAACAAAACTTTTTTGAATTGAGAAAAAAAAAATTTAAACTTGAAAATTTCTTTTCATAGAAACATATTCAAAGAAACTAAACATTTATTTTGTAAAGTAGAAAAAGATCTTAAAAAGTAACGATAAATTAATAAATTGACTTCTTAACGGCAACTGACAAATATTTGGGACAAGAACAGGGCGGAAATTCGGACAATCAAATTGGGAAAAGGGGGTTTGTTACATTAGGATGGATATTTTGCATAGAATAGATCACTTACAATTCCTTCAACGCGTTATTGCAATTTTTCTTACAACCCGACGTGCCTGTGTTTTGTATTTATTAATGCAGGCGCTCCTTAAGCATGGGTCTTACTGATCGATGGGGGAAAATCATATTTCCGTACTCAAGAAAATCGTTGAAGAGACGAAAGTCACGAACAGAGATTGTATAGGGTTAAATGTGTTTCAATACAATTAGAATTTGTAAATCGAAAAAATAGAATCATTCTTTTCGGATTTTTCTGCTTGACCATGTTTCTATTTCAATCTATTTTAACACGAATTTACTTATGATAAAATATGCAGTTCACTATTAACAGATTCTTTATATAATATCAATGAAATAAAAATCTGCCTTCATGTTACTTAAAAATCAATTAGTAAAAAGACTCGAATTAAATGATATGTTAATAGAATGTTCTTCTTCATACTTTAAGTATAACTTTAACCTAATTATATTGTAGGGTGATAGTCTAATTACACAATGTACATATGACTCGACTTCTAGAACCAACTTGACACTGGTAGGTACAATACATTTTCTCTTTTTTTCACCTTTTAATGAATTTGAATGTTAAATTTACTTTTTCAACTTGACATGCTTGTTCATTTTCTACATATTTATTAATTGAATTCCAGTTGAAACGCAGTGAAAATATTGAATTACTAATGAAATTGCGAAATATAAACCATTTGTTCAATTAATGAAATCATAATTGTTATTTCTTGGAACACACCAACGACTGAATGTGTAACTTTATGCATCTGCAAATGTCATGTTTCTGGTAAAACAGTATTATACGACGAAATTCTCCACCTTGCATTCTATTGTTGAATAACTAAAGTATTAAAAAATAATACATTCAAACTCGTAAAATTTCTTAAACCTTTCAATAGCAAGGGAAACCTTCGTGTTGTATGAACTAATTAAGTTAAAATGGTTCTTTCTGCCGAAGTAACTTCATGAAATCCGTTAAGAGTGTAGATTCTGTTCTTTAGGGTTTTTCTTTTTTGCGCGTCAGTATTGCACCACAGTTTTAACTTTCTGAGCTATTTTCATGTCGAAGCAGACATGTTTTGGCCTTGCCTTTGCAACACTATGTGCCATTTTTTTATTTCTTACCTCACATTATTGGTCTTCGGTCGGTAGCTGAACTGTTCTTGGTTTTTGTCTCGCCTGCGACGAAAGTAGCAGAATGCGAAACTGGGATTACTATCTAGCGGCATGCAAATTTTCATGGTTATGTTTGTATCTCAGATACTATGAGAAATAGTATTTGATGTAGTTTTACTGGGCGTATTGCTATGCGTTTGTTTATTCTACATTGGCTAGAGGTATAGGGGGAGGGTTGAGATCTCACAAAACATGTTTAACCCGCCGCATTTTTGCGCCTGTCCCAAGTCAGGAACCTCTAGCCTTTGTTAGTATTGTATATTTTTTTTAATTTTGGTTCATTTATATGTTTCGGAGCTTAGTGTGACGTCCGTTTTCGCTGAACTAGTATACCTTATTGTTAAGGGACCAGCTGAAGACCGGCTCCGGGTGCGGGATTTTCTCGCTGTGTTGAATACCCGTTGGTGGCATTGGGCTGTTTTCTGCTCTTTGGTCGGGTTTTTGTCTCTTTGATACATTCCTCGTTTCAATTCTCAATTTTATGATGGTATGGTGTATATGGTGTCTGGCAGGGTTCGTCTGAACTTTACCTTATTGTTATGGTTAATTGGTCAATGTTCAGTTTTTGTAATTAGTATAATTATCAGATGCAATAAAAAATAGGTAAACTATTGTATGGTATGATTGTAAGGTGTACATTTATGTCTGGCGGGGTTCATTGTTATAGCAAGGACTGCTTGAGTTAAGCATTACGATGTTGTTTTCTATATAGACAGTGTAGACGAGACCATTCGTTTGCGCGCTCAATTCTCCAATTGACTGGATCAGATTAGGTAACCGTTTGTCTGTTACGCCTACTTAATACGATGTTTTTACAAGGGACATTTAAGGGTCACCAAAGGTTTCTCAACGCCTGAAAACAAGTAACTCGAAAAAAAAATACTACAGGCGTATTGATTAACACGATTTTGACATTCTTCATCGACAATCGATAATCAAATTATTTATCATACCGCACGTTCTTTAAACATTAAAATAGAATTTCACTAGCTTCAAAAGTAGTAATGAATATGTAAGCAATAACCTTTTTCGGACTTAAAAGCGATTTTACAATTGTCGCTTTCTAAAATTTGTACTGGCTCTTCGTATCTTTTAACTTTTATCATGTCTAAAAGTATTCAATTTTAGAACGAATGCATGATAACTTTAAATCCTGGTGCAATTAAAAAAAAATGGAAAAATATATTTTTCGTACTTGCAAAATATAGGACAGTAAAAAGCTACATGTGTTTGTTTTTATTAGCTCTGCACATTTAGAATCATGTGCAAAACACGTCCGAAAAAAAAGATAATAATCAACACATGCATTGTAACTTTTAAAGCCAGCTAAATCCTTTTTTTGTTGTTGAAAGAACGTGCGATGTCATAAAAATTGATTATCAAAACATAACGAAAACACAAGTAAAGAACGTTTACACTGAAATGCAGTCAAGTTTAGCGATTGATAATTCATTGATAACATTCTGGCGTATCACAAACAAACAACTTGTAACGTCTCACTTCATTGGCCGAAAGATTTAAATACAACAACAATTGTTGTGTGCACGTGAATTGACACAGGTGACCGACAATGGAATGTACTACGTTACTACGAACGTTAAAAACAATGATTTTTGGTCGAAATAATTAAATAAGTATTTTGTGAATTTCAAATAGTGGGGTCGAAATATTATACTAATAATTTGTGTTAAGTAATATTCTTTATGCATGCAGCACTTGTACCGCACTATGAAAAATATAAGGATAAAATAAAATACATGTGCCGCTTTTATACGGATGAATGTATGAACCACTTTAATTTCTTTCATATTGACGCTAGGTTATTATCCTGACAATGTCGTAGTTACTTATAATAAGGATCTCATAATACTGATCCATTTCAAATTTATGATGGGTTGCACATTCCTCTTTTATTGTTTTCATGCTATAAAACGAAAATAAAGAAGCTAAGCGTTTGGTCATTCAGAAATGATGTGTCATAAACGAGCAAATTGTCCCCGAAAGATCGTACCATGTGTGCACGTGAATATAGATGTACTATGCAATGTACTATCATGGTCACCACGAAATTCAAATGAATTCAGTGAAGGCATGTTGGTGTAAAAAGGTTTGAAATGTTTCATCGGCGAAGATTTTATTTTTGCATGTGTGGAACTAAAAAATAAATAAATACTTGTGAGAAATGTCGTAGTTTATTAGGAACTATATAAATGTACTGTTTTCGATTTTGATTGGTTGAAAATTTATCCTTTAATTTCATACCGTAAGAATAGAGCTTTGCATAACATTGTTGAACAATCCGCCAAAGTAACGTGTGGCATGCGTGCGTATTAAAATGAAATACAAAATCATACATGTATGATAAACTTATAAACGAAATATTAAGAAATTAAGTATGACTACTGTAAAAGTTTGTACAAAAATGGAGTCACCTTTTATCAATACATTTAGTGAATAACCACACTGTTTAAAACTGATTGTTTTCTATGCAACTATTTAAATATTTACAATATATAATTTTCAACCGAGGATAGCAAAACAGTTAATTATAAATTAAGAAAGTATATCGCTGGAGTTTATAAAGTACATTTCCTTTCACTGTGCCATGGTTTGCCATCTCCATTTTTTCTCTAAACAAAGCATGGCTGGTTACATGTTCTGAATTTACTTAATATTTCGGGATTTTTTTTTCAAAATCAAGTAAACTAAATCAGAAAAAAAATCACACTATCCTAAAACTTATGAAAGAATATGAATAATGAACATGACAGTTTATAACACAAACCCATTTACTATAAAAATCGAGCAATATCTTTAGTATTTAATTTGGTTATATTTGTAGTCAAGTACGGTTTCATTTCAAGTACAACGTTAATTCATCAAGTCCATTGAATAAAAGATAAGGCAGGGTGAGCAACTTGACAAAAAAAAGGCAGGATGACGATTTATGTAAAAAATCAGGATAAACGAATAAATATAGTCAGGACCTAACAGACTGAAAAATAGAAAGACAGGACAGAGATAACAACTAAAAAAAATGCAGGACAAAATGTTTCATCCAAGTCCTTCACCCCCAATCAAAATAAAATGGTAGCTCCCTTAATCCAGGACCAATTGAGAGGAGACAGTTGAATTAAATATTTCGACGTGACTGTTAAGATTAAAGTTTAAAATTTTACATGCACATGTATAAAAGCTAGAATTGCCATGCGATAATCAAGAACACAATCATGTTCGGGAATACGACGATGGAAGTTTTTAACGACCTTGACCGGCTACGTGAATACTGATCAGTCCATTCAGCTTTATAGTACGCGTGTTCTATTTTCGCAGGTGTGAGGTCGAAGGTTTGAATTGACCAATGAAAACGATCGTTCCTTAACGGGTTAATCTAATAAAGTTTGTTTGACTGATTATGTTGCACGACCTTTCGCTAAGCTTGACCGCAGTTCAGTGTAAGTACTCAATATAAATCAAAACACAAAGTTTATTCCTGATTAGTTTTTCGAATTATTTTATTTAGGCGTTGAGACCCTTTGGTGACCTCACAGTTTAAATTTCTATAATAAATACGTCGTGAGTTTTGGGCGTTACAGACGAACGTTCACCTAATCTGACCCAGTCAATGGGATATTTTTGCGCGCCAATCAATGGTCTCGGCTACACTGTTATGCACATGATTCTATTGTTATTTCAAGTGAAACTGTTGGTGTGATGATAAAAAGAATGTTTAAAACAAATTCCTGTTAAATTTTGTTGAAAGAAAGTATAATTTTATGTATCGAAATGTGAAACAAGCGATTATTTAAATCCCCACTGGAAGGTCTCTGACAGACTGAGTGAGCGTAAAATCATTGTTAACGATAGCCGATGACAAACAAGTTAAAGGTAAATGATTCGGTATTATTAGAAACATAATCATTACGGTTGTCCACACTGTTATGGGACTACCTCTAAGTCAAGTCATTTCCTATAAATAGCTATTACGCTGTACAACTTCTACTAATATAACAATCTTTTTCAAGGCGTGAGCCTGTAATTCAGTGGTTGTTGTTAATTGTTGTCTTATCTTTTTTGTTTTTCGTGGGTTGTATTTAGCATAAATCGGGTCGTTGGTTTTCTCTTTTTAATTGTTTCACATTTTGTCATGCTGTGGCCTTTTATAGCTTACTATAAGATAAGGGTTTTGATCATTGTTTAACAGGTCGTACTTTAGTTTCAGGTGGATAACTGTCTCATAATAAGTAAATTCTGATAAAAAGTCAGGATACTCCAGGTGTATGCATGCACTTTAGACACTGTTTGACAAGGGTTTGGTGAAATCATAATTTTTTCCATTGTACGAAAAACACAAACGTCCTCTTGTAAGTAAAAGAAATACATGGGCTATGCCTTCTCTTTCGGAAGAGGACATAGGAAAGACATATAATACAATAGATAATACATCTCTTCTCTTTTTTAGGGCGGCGAAGCTACTACAGATGAGATGTGTATTTCCTTCATATTCTACTATCCCAGGATGCCTTTGGACGGCTGTTTAGCTGACCCAATCTTTGATACCATCCCAGAAATAAAAGATATGAAACCACCAGAGCAAGTGAAATTTCTACAGGGTTACAACTGGAAGGACCGCCATGCTAGACTTCTGTTCAGGAATAATATGGAGAAAACAAAATATAGGTCATCATGTTATGCAAGAAACCCGTCATTTGTAAGTTTAGTTATTTATATCATGTTCGAAAATATAATATACTTAAGACTATAGGATAAGTGAAAATTATCAACGAAAAAAAGAGTCAACAACATCCTTGCTTTTTACAGTTATGTGTCTCTTAGCGTTACTGTTTAGCAAAACACAGATTGAACATATATGTGCAATAGAAAATCCATGCCTTATTCTAAAATAATGTCTTCGAGTTATATTGAAGACTTGACTATATCATTTATATTTATTCCAAAATAGCACGAATCTTCCTTACCACAAAGGTCTACATACCGTTTGTGTTTGTATTGTGAAAACGATAATTTTTTAAATCCCTTTTTGTGTCTCAAAAACTGTTGTTTCTCTTTTTCTTTGTTTTTTGCCATGATTTCGGTCTCTCTTAGAATTATGAGTTTTGATTCTCCCATCCGAGACTGTTTACAGATCCTCCATACAGAATTTTTCTGACTCAAGAACGACACAATACAAGGACAAACTGAAATTTTCAGTGGTCCATAATTAACAAAGTTATTTTTTTGTAAATGAATTTAGTTTAATTGAAAAATTATTAAATAAGTGGCATATGAAGGTTTCAGAAAAAATATCTGTAGACCGATTTTATCCTACAAGACCGGAGTCATTTCGCAAGCAACAGGCCAATTGCTCCTCATTTTAAATACATCTTAATAACATGACAAAATGTTTTTTATATATTTATTAAGACCTTTCTTTCACCTAGAACTTGACTTCTTCGTAATACATATATTTTTATCCTTTACAGCTTAATTTCAAGACTGTGGATAGACTACGTCCAACAGAAGTATATCACCCTCCTCAGAGGGATTGCAAAAAAGACAGTGATCAAGTTTAACTAACGTCAGTACTAACAAGAAGATAAAAAGTGATGTAAACGATGAAATTAACACGAAACACACGTTGATTATCACACTACAAACTGTGATATCTTTTTACTGGTGTCATTTATATGTGTTGTTTTTTTATATCAAAAAAGTAAATAAACTGTAAACGGTGTTTCGGCATATTCTTGATTGTCTTGATTTAGAAGTTTTAGCAACTTTCTTTTTTCCCTTGCTATTATCTGGTCAGATATAGGTTAAATAAAAAAAAAGTAAAAATGCGAGACCCACAAATATCCAGGATTATTTTCAGTCATTAAATGTCATCCTTATACCCGGTTGCTGCTTGGGTAAATTAATAATTTAAACAGGTTCTTCAGGACAACGTTCTATTTGAAATTTGGCGACCTACAGATTAATATTCATAATGATGGAGGTTGTTCTGGTATTTAAGACAGGTTCAAGTTACCTTTTTGCTATTTGACTTGATGATTAAATGGAAATAAATACTAAATCAGTGCATAATGTCTTCAAAACTTAAAATGTTTCTTGGAAACCTTCTGGTATTTAGAAGGTTCTATAGACCTCTATCTCCGGAAGAACCCTTTACTGGTTTATGCGTATTAAAGAATACAATTGTGGTCCTTCAGATAGCAAGCTGATGGTCAAAATGTGGTCGGGTTAAACCAGTTTTACGTGTTCCCAAAACCTCCCCGTTTTCCTAAATTTAAAGTAAATTGCAGAATCAAAAAACATCACACTCTTGTTACACAAAGACATATATTCCTAAAAATTGTTGTTATGAGGAAAAAACAAGCCAATCCTTTTGTCAATAGATATTCATCGAGTTAGTAAAATTTTTATATATATGATCCGGCAATATTGGACTTTTTTTTTATTGATATTGCATCTGAGGAATGGCATTACTCGACTAACGAAAGATATATTTTTATATAGCCCAATTAGTCGTGTGGTCTAGGACGTTGGAAACAGTACAGGCGGTGTTGCCACAAAGTCTCAGATGTAGGAGTTCGAATCCCACTGAGGGAAGATCCAAAAGATAGCAAATTTGCATATCTAACATTTTTGAATTAAGTTTGAGACGAAGTATATTTGAATTATGGTGTTAGCCCTGTATAACCACAGGTTATCCGATGGAGAACGTCTGTCGTACAGTTGTCACATATTTAGACGTTTATAATATATACATATATATACATAGTTAAGATCCATTTTGTTACATCTTGTGATACGTTTATTTGGCAATCGCCATGGCAGTCGGCAGGGTTTAAGAACATCAGTTGTTCGACCTGTTAGTCAAATGCGTTTTGTTAAAATATGCTTTTTCACTTTTTGGTCTTTTGGAAAATGTTGTTTGTGCTGTATTTAGACCCCTCTACCAAGAAATTTGTTTTGCATGCACACGTATAAAAATTGCGGTTTTTATTCAACGCAATAATAGGTTTGAACGTTGTTTTCAATTTAGACTTGCATATATATACATACATATATATATATATGGATGTGTGTGTGTATGTGTGAATTTTCGCCTTCAACTTAAGAATGCAGAGGCAAAACCACAAAAGAATTTTGATCAAAGCGATTTTTTTAAAGGTTTAAGGCTTTTTGCACTGAGCATCTATCCTCATTTCTTAATTTATACCTCGATTGGTTTGGTAGCATCAATATCGGTTTTGTTTAGATTGGATAATCTATGGTTTATGTTTGAAATCGTATTTGTCCAAATTTCATTTGACTAAAACATTGAACAACTGGCACTTACCTTTGTTGTGATTTCTTTTTTTTTAACTTGAGACGAAATAGAAACTTAGTAAAGATGGAAATAACATAACTATAATGTAAAACCTCCAATCTTTCTTAGTGGCTTACATATTTATTTGAATAAGCTGTATTATCATGCGTTTCAAAGATGATTTGGATGGTGCATTCGTTTTGACTTTGCCATTCACCAGACAGTGATACCCTTGTCTCCTGTCTGGCATCTGAATAGGGAAAACACTTTCTTCGGATTTACAACTATGTCACTTTGTTTGCTTCAAAAATGCGTTACTATATCTGGTTGGACAAAAGACACTAATAGTAATAACAAACCAATATAGTATATAGTTTTTCTTAACGTTATTTATGCCCTATAAACCTCTTTCATTGGTAGCTTGTTTTCAGAAAATAAACTATAAAATGTTAGGTTTTCTGTAAATTTTATGTTTCATTATTTCTGTTTTTTTTATGCCCCCTCCGTCATCGGAGGGGGCATTAAGTGTTATCCCTGTCCGTCCGTAAGTACGTCCTAAACTGGTTTCAGTTCTCTAACTTAAGTTTGCCTAAACCAAATGTTATGAAACTTATAAAAATGCTTATTACCACAAAATACAGATAAAGTTCGAACTTTGGTGGCGTCAATTCTTTATTTTGTTTGATGTTGTATACAAATTTACTATTTAATATCTTCAAATTTTTCTTTTTGGCTTTCAAAGCAATAGGCATAAACTGATACATCGAACAATAAATTGATTGAATAGGGTTTTCCTCTTTTTCTTCCTTTTTTTTGGGGAAACGGTCTTTTTATATTAGTTAGTGAAATTAACCTTTATTTTGTATGAATTTATATGGAATTGTCAGTTTCAGCCCTGACGACAGATTGAAGTCGGAGGTTGATATGGAACACTTGGATCCGTAAGTTTCAGTGTCGTGGTTGTATACTACAAAAGAACGAAAACGTGTTTAGAATGTTTCCCAATACTATTCACTATATCTATAACTGGATGAATATTCTAAAACTCATGAACAATTACTACATTAGAATGAATTCAATAGAGAATAACAAATGTACTAAACACTCATCTATAATACTTAAATAACGAGGTTCAATTTGTTAGCCGGCATGGGGTAAAAACGACGAATCAAAGAATTCAACTTTATATATAACTAATAAAGGACAATGGTGTTGATTAAAAATTACATCATTCTAGACCCTTTTGTTTTCCACATAATTAATATTACCAATAATTAACAAGTTCCGGGTCGAATCCGATACCGATACCGATAGTATATGTTACCTGTTACTTATTACCTAATCTGCACGTTCCGCATCTGTCAGGAGCACCACCAAACGGTGTATTTGGGATTTGCTATATACACGGGTCATAATTACACATAAACTTCGTCATTATACAGGGTTGACACTACTAAGTTCATTCATTGCAACATTGTTTCCAGTTGTAGTATTTTAATCAGCATGACTTTATAAGATGACAGTACGAATACTAAAAATCCGGACTTAAAATAAGGCGTAGGTACAATAATAAGTTCCAGGTCGACGGGTTCAAACATAAATATTTTGAAAGCAGAGAAAACCGTGCATCTTATAATCAGCATGACTTTATCAGATGACAATACCAATACTAAAAATCGAGGCTAAAAACAAGGCTTATACATAATAAGATACTGTAATTCAGTCACGGACCCGCGATGTCGCGGGTGTGTTCTAGTATGTAATTAATATTCTCCAATTTACTGGCCAAATAGTGGGAACTACCCATCAGACTATCTGGTTTCCAAAAATTGGGGATAGATTTTCATAATCCTGACAGGGTACATGCATTTAACATATGGAAGTGATCTTGTTTTTATAGTGTGCTGTAGTCATTCTGTGCTGTACTGTATACGAACCTTATTCTTTTTGTTATATGTGTATTTGACCACGATAATGTATTTTTTTCCCCAACTTATGGTTTTGTATTGCCCCCTTGGTAATTTTCCCCCGTTTTCTTGGTCTGACCAACCTTTACATTTTGTTTATAACAAAATTTAGGCTAGTTAAGTCATTGGTCGTGACGTTTTGATTTGTTTATGATATAAAAAGAAGCCAATAGAGAAACATTCGTTTTCATTGCATTTTCAGAGTAAAAAAAATTGTGAAAATCGATTTGAAGGAAAAACATAAGACAACACACCATTTTAGAAAAGTAAACATATAAAGGTTAAGTTATGACCTTCAAATTGAAATATAATCCTAAATTAAACAGGGTTTTCTATCAATCTGAGACAGTTCACGATAGCAAATATTTGTAATTAAATGGAACCAAGAAATCTACGAAAATTGGTACGAATAATAAAAATTTCAGAGATAGGATGAAAAGGATTCTAGTTAGCATGGAACCTAGCATTTAATACAAACAGATGCAAGACTATATCAAATGTCAAATATGTTAATATGGTTAAAACTAATAGAAAGATAAATTAGTTTAACATACAACTGGTGAATGTTTCCAGCAGCAGGTACTTCGCAGGGTACTGTTGAGTACGTCTTGTTGGAATTTACTTCTAACTGAGTCATCTGTCCAATCATAAGTTTCCACTAGATTTGCCAATTCTTCAACTGAGCTTTGATCATCCCATGAAAACGATAGTAATGACGAATGACCAGGAATTGTATCATAAAGAAGAGACTGGGTTGTCATATACAATGGAAACCGGGGATAATAGTAGATAAACGAGAAACACATTTCGTTCGCAGTCGATAATCCTCCCTACAAAATAAAACCAAATGTGTATGAAAGATTTATTTCGTTCAACTAAAAAATTATTTCTTTAACACTTAAAACATCTACACTGTTCAAACAAATAAAGATGAAACTAACTTCCTGTATATGCATGTAGTATGAAAACATTTAGTTTGATGTAATCATCGTGCCTTAAATAAATCAATTTAATTTTTAATTTACATTATACAGTAAAACAGAATCACTGAAAATTGCATTTGAGCCCTCTCTTTCCTTTCTTCTATGTATTCGACATCTTACAAAACATTGCGCGTGTGTTTTTTACCGTGTCATACGTCAATCCTAGATTAGCATGCACAAAGGGAACACTATAGACAGTATGAAGTGAGTTAACTTCATACTTTGCAAGTAGCTTTATATTTGACTATAATGGTAAGAAAAAATAATTTAAATGACTTCTATGTTGCTATTGTCATTTTTTTTGTCCCCGCGCAACGCGTTGCGGGGGGACATAGAAATAGCGGGCGTCCGTTCGTTCGTCCGCCCTTCTGGTCTGGTTAGCGCTCTCACGTGTACAATTTTTGCCAGATTTTTATGAAACTTGTATCATGGGTTTATATCAGCAATGTCTTGGACGAATTTGAAAATCAGTGCCGATCAATTATTTTTAAAAGAGTTATGCCCCTTGGAAACAATAATTATATTGAAAATTGCCTTGTGAGCGCTCTCATGTGTTCAATTCTTGCCAGATTTTTAATAAATTTATAATATAGGTTTATATCAGCAATGTCTCGGACAAATTCGAAAATCAGTGCCGATCAATTATTTTAAGGAGTTATCCCCCTTGGAAATATTAATCATAACCGAAATCGCATTGCATTTGCTCTGCAGCCTTCATTTATGTAAGATATTTATAAAAAGATTTAAAGAACAAAAAAAAAAGTGTTTTTGGTTTTAGTTATTGCCCTTGTAGCTTGGATAGATAAAATATGTGCAACGCGGGGGACATTGGAACTCTGTTCTTTTAATTTTTTGTTTGTTTTGCTTTTTGCTGCTGCATTTAAGACGCACCCAATTTTGGTTGCTCCCTTGGTATCTTTCTATTGGTGTAAATGGTGCTCAAATGTTAGGGTTATCAGGATCCCGTGTTTTATCTGAATTTTCTTGATAGCGGTTGGTGAAGATAATGAATTTATTCAATCAACATTTTTGAGCAAAAACTAATATAGTTTGGCAAACATTTCATTGATCAAAATCATTACGGTTTACTTTGGAAATACTTTGCAAATCGTAGTATCAAATGAATTAAATGTCCTCCCAATGTAAATTACATGACATGTTTTTTTTTTACTTTTAGCATCTGGACAGTGGCTACATAGTTAGCAGAAGAGTGTTATCATATTGGGACAGCCATATATAAAATCAGCAGCAAAATAAGGGAAAATATGTTGTAACTTTGTAAAACACCAACCACATTTTACGAGAAAGATGTGGATTGATCAGTTTTGCGGGGCGCCAAATTGCCCATAGTGATGATAGCTTACTTATTACCACTTTATCTATGCCTTGAAGAACATTTTTTTCTGTATAAAAATACAAAATCACATTAAAGCTTCGAGTATACTGCATACCAACAGATGGTATGCGCATTACGTTTAATGTTTTATAAGCGTAGGGCGATACTTACATATGTAATATTGTTTCTTAAAGTAGAATCATATGTACAATCTACTCTGATGCTATCCCCCTGAAAAAAAGCGAATAGTAGAAACAATATTATACAAGATGGTTCTAAAAAATGAATGTTACGTGTAGCAGCTTTATTTGCCTTTAAAAGGGGTGACAGAAGCACATTTTTGTGATGCACTGAAGCACTTTATATTAATTATTTTTTTTAATTTTTGTTTGTTTGTGTGCAAAAGCGTTTACCGAAAAAATAGAGTATATGGTACGCACTTAAAATTCTATGATTTTTATGTGCTAATTGAAATGACGGAATCCTTATGGAACATCTATGTAATCTATGTTGTATAATTATTCAGCGATTATTGCTTAAAATAAAAAGGACAAACTACGATATTTGTCTTTTATACACCCACATATTGTAATTGTCGTAAATCTTGGTTTATTTGAATTTTGAACTATCATTATCGAACTTTCTTTATAGAATTTGACCAAAAGACTTTAAGAAAAAAGAAACGAAATTGGTTCTTTAATTACGGATTCTTGCTTCTAACATTTCAACTTCTCACTTACACAGCTTTCACATACCTTTCTCACCGGAACTTCTTTTTTGAAGAGCCTTGTTTCTTGGTAATCAAAGTCATAATGTTCATCTTCTGCAATAGGTTCCAGTTCGACATCATTTCTGAGATGTCTTGTTGTTATTCCCTTCCCTAGTAGATGGGCATGCTGCCATACTGCAAACAATTTTATTTCGTCTAGGGAAGCTTCAGTTAGACCCTATAATTTTCATCAACATAAAAAGTACTGAGGTTGCTTTTAATCGGAATGAGTTCTGTTAGATCTTAACTACTAGTAACAGATTTAATGTTGATTATAATCAACTGATATTTTTATAACTATTAGGTGTTTCAAGGTATATCATACGTCATTATCTTGCAGTCATATGCAGATGGAAAGTTTATTGAACGCAAAAAAGTACTTAAGTTTTTTCATTGACTTGCATTACTGTTTTGCTATCAAGGGGTCGATTCCACTGTTGTTCAGTGCATGATTCCAAGAATACCACAAAACTGTCCTGATAATAGTTTTAACAATACTTAAAAATGTTTAGTTGACAGAAATATATAAATAATCCAAGACTTTCTTACCAATATAAATGTTTTTTTTCTAAACTTTGTGAAGGGTATTTTAGGCTTAGTGCTTTTGAGTGTTTCATTATTTCAGATTTGTCAAAACATTGTCATAACGTGTTTAGAAGAGCAAAAATAAAAACAGTGGTTAGAGAAAGACCGAGTTAAACCATGTCAAAAGAAAAGATGAATAGACAAACAATAATCCACAAAACACTGTACACATAAGATTGAGAAACAAGAACCCCCCCCCCCCCCCCAAAAAAAAAAATGGGGTTGCTGTGGGGAACCTGTGTGTTCTAATGGGTTTATTACTTCCTGTTCCACTAGCGTCATCCGTCCTATTAACCGTAATACTACCAAATAAGTGTATGAAGGCGGCAAACTAAAGCACCACTGATTAGACAAAATAGAAATTAGGCTAGTTTGTTAATTTGCCTATGCACGAAGCAGTCTGATTAAAACCAGCCCCAAACGCAAGTGGATAGTGGGGGCTTGTTTTAATCAGACTGATGCACGAAGTCATTTTTTATTTATTTTCTCGGTTTCTTTAACCGCTCTACAAATTAGAAGATAACAATGAAATAAATACCTTTGATATACATTCCTTCGTGGCCTCTATTTGTACTTTGAATTCGTTATAGTGAGGTGGAATAATGTGCTGATGATTTTCCCTCATTCCAACCGTCAATAATCCTGCATCGTATTGACGTAAGTGTGACGTGTATGTGAACCTCATACCAGAGCTGTCCACAAGGTCTTAGAAACATTAAATTTTATAAATGGAAATTTCTTATACTATTTGAATTAAAATAAAACTATTACGCATAACTAAATAATTGGAATTTCACATTATATGACCTCGCAACATTTATCAAATATTGTTGTTAGAAGCAAATTTCACTTGAAAAACATCTTTCTCTTTATTTGATTTTTATTGATTCGTTTAGAATGGTGCATGTAAAGTTAAGAAAATAAATTTTACAACACTTCAAAAATAAAATTGACACATTCTGAAGCAATCGAGCTTAGATATTGTCAATTTTATCCGTTCTAGAAATCTCCCAAATGTCAATTAAGATTAAATTATACTTATACGTGAAAAAAAAATACTGTTGAACGATGTAAAAACCAATCTTATTGTTCCGACTTCGATCGACGCTTTCAAAAGAAATTAATAGAATAAATGGATTTCACGTCGCTTTTCAATTTTTTTCTTTATATTTTAGCAGCCGTAAAACTTTCTGAAATTCCGACCAAACATACATCACTCAGACATCTCAAAGGATTTAAAAGGGGTAAAGAACGATGGTAATAAAAACAGTTAAAAGATCAAAAATAAAGTTTTGTCTAGCGTCGACCAAGTCGAAAAAGCAAGACTTAGGCGTGCTGTTTCCGGCGGCGGCGTCAACAATGTATTAGTTTGTGATTAGGTCAGTTTATAGAGAACCACTAGTGGTACGTTAATGATATTTGGTATGCAATTATATTAGCATTGGCACATCTCATTTCCATGGAGATTATTTGTTCCCATCCCCTCAATCATGGTCTTTTAACTTTGGAACTTTTGCTAACTTTACATGTATAAGTATGTGATTAGGTCAGCTAAAGGGAAACATTGTGGTTGGTCAATGATATTAGGTATGCAGTTGTATAAGCATTGGCACTTTTCATCTCCATGGAGATTATCATGTTCCTGCCCCCTCAGTCATGGTCTATTGACTTTGAAAATTTTGCGTAGTTTACATGCATTAGTTTGTGATTAGGTCAGTTTAAGATTAGCGACTTATGTTATGGCAATGGTATTTGGTATGCAGTTTTCTAAGCATTGGAATTTCTCATTTCCATGGAGGTTATTTGGCCCTGCATCTTCAGTCATTGTTCATTGACTTTGAATGAAATGCATAGTTTACATGTTAAACATTGCTTTATTAGTTTCAACATTTGCATTATACCATCAAAATTACAAACCGCAAGACATATCTCTGTGTCAACCGTTTATTTTAAACATATATCTATACAAACTCTCACACAATGCCCGTTATTTATATCAATCCATCTCTCATCTTCTATAAAGACGGTACAGAATATTTCATAATACTCCGATTAATTTCGTATAGGGGATTCCCTTAATGAAACTTGTTTGTTTTTTAGAAAGGAAAAACATTTGTGACACACTGATTGACTAAGAGGGAGTTTCTTTTTGAGAGACGTAATGTCAAATATTCTAGTTATTGTCTTCTGTGAAATGTTTACTTTAAATAACCAAACAATAAATATGTTACGTTTATCATCAGGTCGGTCTAATAATACAACATTCTCACAGGGGAAAGGATAAATCCATACTCATACCTCGTCTCCAACTATGAAGCAACCATGACCTTTTTAAAAATTTAAAAAGACCATCAAGATACATTTTTATAATTTTTGTAATCAATAGACATGTTGATAATAACTATCAAAAGTTTTAACAATAAAGGACATAGCTGCTATTATTTACATTCGAATGAAATCTTTAGGCCTAGCCGTTTTCGTTTGTTTTCAATACACAAATAAGATAAATTTAACTAGTGAGGCCGAACGATACACAAGTATGAGGAAGCTGGACATATATATGGCATGTTAACTGAAAATAACCTAAATTGCGGGAATTTGTTTATGATAAATTGCTTGTTATACTAATCAAAGATAAGGCATGAAGCTGAAATTTAAAATGATATAAATAAACTGTGGCGCGTATCATCATATAAAACTTTTGATGCTCAGCATACGGTTTTGTACTCTAGACAAGCATCTAACTATTTAGAATACGTGCAAATACATATTCGTTATACGTTACAGTTATATTTTTTTTTAAATGGCCAAGTTTTTACATTTATCAGATTGCATTATGTGATTATTGTCAAAGTTGATAATAACAATAAGAATTCTGTATTAAATATAATTCACGAAAGGTCCACCCGGTCAGGTTATTTAAAAGACATCATGAACTTGTGAACATTCGACACATTATCTATAACTTACCCGTAACAGCCCCAGGATTATTATAATGAATTTCAATGACGTATGCATATTCTTTTTCATTTTCACCAATTGGTAAGCCAACATTTGGAGGAAAATGAAAAGGCTGAAAAAACAGAATATTTATGTGAAGTGTGACAAATGTATCAGTATGTTTTCATGAAAAATCTTTCGAATAAAATCAATCTAATGTATGTAAAATAAAGAAACTTTAAGAGTGTGTACCCTTTTCCATGTCTAGTGAACACGTGATATACAGTTCAAACAAATATCTAGATTTAACACAAGTACATTTCCTTGTACCAAGAGTAAGGCTGGTATAGGAGAAGAAGCTTTTATATACCCTGATTTTATAACTCACTCGTACGACGTGTTCAACTGATTGTGACTTTATATAAATTCGTAGGACGAGTAATATTTGAACAGTGTTTGATATCCTTGTCCGATCAATTCTTGATTTCAAAGAGGTAGATCGACAGACCAGGCTAACATAGAAGGCGATGGATTTTATTTTAAATATTATGGTTTTGACAAATCACTGTCCAAAGTTATGAACATAACCGGTTGTTGTTTGTATATTTAATTTTTTCGTTCAATTATATTTGATGGTGCTGGCATATTCTTTAGTTATCTCTGTTGAAGTTATTTACAATTTGCCTAGACCTAGATTGACTTAAGCACTAGGCCTGTGACACTTGTGTATAATGTTAAGGACATTGAATGAATGTTGGAACCTGAATGTGATTTATTTGGTTTTTTTTATGTCTGATTTTTTAAAGTGGTGATGATTGCTTTTTGGCCAGTATTATTTTAATTTTCTTACACCACTGCCAACAGCCCAACCGGCTACAACATTTCCACAAGGCATCATATCTACAGGAACAGTGTAACATTCAAAATTTCGTCCAATGTACTTCCTCGGATAATTATGGCACTTGTAAACATTCATGTGATGTACAAATGGTTCATGGCCTTTTTGTATAACAGCCTCAAACTGTTGATAAAAAATTAAATTGGTTAAAAGTATCAAACTTTAGATTTAATATACAACTACTTTTAGCAGTAAGTTAAAATGTATATAGTTTTTTTTTATCAGATAGCCATTAATTGTAAAAAAAAAAAAAAGCTTATTAAATTTGAAAAAAAAGGTTTTTGAAAAAGAATAATTGAAAATGATCTAATTAAATACCCCATCCCCTCCCTTATAATATTTCCGTTCCATAACAATGGAAATCGTTCGTGCTTACCTTTATCGTATGATGTTTCGTGGAAATATCCTCCAACGAATAAACTCTACATTGATATGTTGTACGTTTAGATGGTATATGAAACTGTTAAAACAAAATAGTTACTGTATGAATATGGATTGCCTACAAATAAATATAAAGATATAACACTAGAAAAAAAACGATAATGTCATAGTAGTAACTGGAGAGACGCAAGAAGTTGCTTCTGTTCATTGCAAGTTCCAATATGAGACGATCGATTTCTTTTTTAGTGATATTATAATCGTTAGTTGTGACGACAAAAATCCGTTATTACAGCCCTTGAATGTTTCAAAACAAAAGAGGGACGATAGATATCAGAGGGACAGTCAAACTCATAGATCGAAAACAAATTGACAACGCCATGGCCAAAAATAAAAAGACAAACAGACAAATAATAGTACAGATGACACAACATAGAAAATTAAAGACTAAGCAACACGAACCCCACCAAAAACTGGGGGTGATCTCAGGTGCTCCGGAAGGGTAAGCAGCTTAGACAACTTAGTATAACGCGTATGTAAAAGTCTTTACTCTTCTCTAAAAAATACATAGTTATAGTATTTTAAGAGTCTTTCACCTGCTTTGACTGCAAATGACAGTATTTGGTAAATGTAATTCTCAGGACTGATTCATTGTATTATTTACCATTGTTATTAGTATGATCAAGAGTTGTATATAAAATTTTTGTTCGCACTAATATAAAATAATTTGTAAATAATTTAACATAATATCCTGTAATAACATTATATTTTGTGATTAGTATATATTTTTGGACTTTTCGCGTCTGGAATAAAAATATGTTTTTCTTGTCTTAATGAAGGAGCATGTCCATAGCATATCATTAATCAAGTGATACTAATTACTTACTTGATGATGGACCAGATCTTTAGTCTGACTATCATTCGGAAGTTTATACTGTTTTGACGTCGATAATAATAACAGGCTTTTAGCGCCTCTTCTTGTTGCACCGTGCCAAGGCATATGAGTATCGTCGGTTGGATCGTCAGGGTGATACGCAAATATTATTCGCATTGTGTCATCCTACAATGTAATAATAAGAATATGAATATTATAGTTAATATTGATATTTTGATTTATCTTCTGCTCAACTGAAATAAAATCATAACAGCAATGGAGCTTTAGATTTGTATTTTAAATCTTTTAAATATATATTTTTCTAATCTGCACAAGTGTTTACTGTTATGTTATTATTGTTAAAGTCTCACACTTTACATTTCTAAACTTCTGTACAAAGGTTAAAGAATATACCAAATAAGACAGCATTAGTATACCGATGTTCAAACCATTTTTGATATGCAACTGAAAACAAATGAGGGAACGGGCATTATCAACTCGTTATATTGCATCTATCGAAAAATGTCGATTCAGTTATGTACTATATGAAACGAAATAATCTATTCCTGATGACATAGATAGCTAGTGTTATCGGTTAATTTGAACCCCATAGCACAGATATAGGTAGAACATGACAAATAATGACAATTTTAAAGCAAATTTCACCCTTAAACTTGGTTCACGAGTCAGTTGTGACGGTGTTGAAAGAAAGGGTTAAGTAACAAAAAGTAACTGTTGATTTTCCTTATTTGGGACAAGCATATGAAATTAGCAATTAATCGATATTACAGATAGCAAAGCTGCATGAAGCAGAGTAATGTTTCTAATATCAGTTTGACATTGATGGATATTTGTCTCATTAGCAAGTTTACCATATCTCCCTTTTTATAATTTATTCAAAGGTTTATCAAAGTATTTCAGAGTTTAATTATATTTTTCTGAAAATTATTTTTAAACATTTTTCCTTTTCTACGTCTTGGGTTGAAAAATTACTTCAGTAACCTTTTGGAGGCCATCATTAGTTGCATGAATTTTGGTCATTGATTGATATTTGATACCTTTCCAAGTTTACAACATCTACTTGCGTTTTATATTCGTTTTGAAGGTCTTCTGTTATGACTTTGTTGTTATCGTCCGTTTGACTAGGAAGTTATTTTTCGGATTTACATATTATAAAGATCTTGAGTAGCCATTCGCATGTCATACTTACGGTTGCAAACCTAATATTTCCACAAGTTAATGAACAGCTCGCGGTAAAATAATTATCTGAGAAAGTAAATATTGGACAGTTAACTTTGAAAAATGGATACAATAATGGATTAGGCAAATTCGTCAATTATTGAAGCTAAAAGAAATGCAAAATAGATTAACGAGTAATTTCTTATGATTTTTTTTAGTACTTTTTTTTTCAGAAATCAAAAGAAGAAACAAAGGTGATAACACATGGGAGACTTTCGAAAATCACGAAAGTGCAGGCACTGTTTTAAGACAGACAAAATACTTACAACAATATCAGTGTCATTGTCGTCACACGTATTCAATGGTCTTTGAAATTTAAGCACAGTTCCAAAATTATTCTCTTCCCCATGAAGAAGTGTCCAATCCTGTGAAATATCCTTTACTGGCTGGAAGTGACCGACAGTGTGACAGTCCTATTTAAAGCAATTAACGTATATATATTAGACTTTATGTGAATGTAAAAGGATATATGGAGTATCATACAGCAAACCATAGCACACACAACATTTTACATTTATACTGCATTAACGTTATATATCAACTAAAAGTGTAAATTCATTGTTGTCATATATTATTGCTGTGCTGTATTATTGTGGTTGCTTATTAGAAATTTCAGGTTTATTATTCAATTTGTCATAGTTTTACTTCATTTTTCAAATAACATATAGTTGTGGTTTAAATAAAAAATAAAGAATCTTCGTTTGCTGGTGTCCTGTTATTTACTGTTTGTTTAATGAAAGATTAAAAAAAAAGTCTTACAACGAATAATAGGAAGACATTACTCACTAGAATTTCATATACAATTTAATCAAAATATTTACTTCCGTATTCTTCCCTTTAAGGACAAATACAGTGGTAATTCATAAATCACAAAAAGTACCACACAGATTGACCTTAAGGCCATTTTTCAGTAAGTTGCTATAAAACCATGTTTAGTCCACCATTTTCTACATAAGGAAATGCCTGTACCAAGTCAGGAATATGACAGTTGTTTTCCATTCGTTTGATTTGTTTGAGCTTTTGATTTTGCCATTCGATAAGGGACTTTCCGTTTTGAATTTTCCTTGGAGTTAGGTATCTTTGTTAGTTTACTTTTTTGTCAACTGAGTTTTATTTCACCCATGAAGATCCTCCAGAAACCACCAAGAAAAAGAACATCATTCGATTTGTTTCATAATTTTCCTACTTTTGCAAACAAGAAATTAAATTATATGTTAAGGTCCGTTCAAAATATCCAAAATTCCGGATATGTATGATTATACTTACTGAAAAATGGGGAACTCCATCTTTCACCCAGCCAACAACAACATCAGAAGGGTACATTTTACCATTAGGAGAGAATCCAAAGCCAACATATCCTCTTGTTTTTACATGTACCTCGAAAGTTATATGTGTTTGGTTAAACTTCCAATAAACATGATAGTTCCCGAGATGATCTAAAATTTCATGCAAAAGGAAATGTTCTGACGGAATCTGTGCTAGATGCGGAATGGCATTTGCAATAAAAATAAAATTTAGAAAAAGTAGCAAGTGAGAAGTGATCTTCATATCTCTTACACATGCACTGTTTCAATTGTTACTTGCATATACAACAATATATATTGATAAGATAAGTCAAGGACATAATTCATAATACATCAATATAATGAACTTTCCTTATCTAAGTTCATTTATGCAACCTATCCTAAACGTTCGGTTTATTTGCTTCAATATCTATCAGTGTTGAGCGTTCATTCTAAAAGTATTAAAACAATGAAGAGTACACCGTTCTTACAGTAGTCAGTGTTATACTTTTTATTCAGTGTATAAAGATTGTTAATTTATACAAGTTTTAAAACACCCAAACAATGTTGACCACAAGCAATATTTTTATGATCGGTTAATGTCCCTTTTGGTTTCGTTCTCTAAACAGTGGAAATGTTTTCCTTCCTCTTATTTATTTTGGTATCGAGCTATCTCCGGAATCTTTCATAAAAAAAATGATTTAGTATATATATAAAAATGGGAGTTATACGGTTATCTAAATTAGATATACCACTTGATCGGTACCAATGATAACCGACTGTTTGTCTTGAGGTTATTATCTGTCCAATTACGAATTGCGCGGAACGGCTAATCACTAAAATTTGCTGTTTATTTAAGATTTTTCAAATTTCACTGATAACTTTACAACAACTTTAGTACCATCGACACTAGACTTCATTCTCTAATCCGACCATAATCCAGTTCATCGATACTGTTATTATTTTATGAATTAAGGATTTGAGAACAGTAAAAATGATATTGGACGATTGGGCATGCCCTTCTTGGTTTGTGTTCTCTTAAACGTCTGATGTATGTGTCGTTCTAATATTGTATGTCGAGCTTGGAGGGGTTTGTGTTCACCAGTGTTTAATTTTTATTTTTTATTTAATGTTTTGTAGATTTGTTTGCTTTTTTGCTTTTATTTTTTAAACCATGCTTTTGTCGGTCTCTCTTCGAATAAAGACTTTTGATTCTCCCTTTGGTTTCTTCCGCCTCTTTTTCCATAGGACAATTATTTAAGATAAAAGTGTCATTCACGTAGGTTTCATACTAGTACCCTTACTATTTAAAACTTTTAGTCCTTAAAGTTACCACTCACTCTGAGTAGTAGGTGCCTTGTTACTTGTTGGCCATATTGTAAAAGGTCTCCGTTGTTTAAAGAATCATTTTACGAAAACTAAGGATGGAACTTCCTTACGCAATGTTTATCTTAGACAATTTAAACGATTTCAGACTTTTTATTTGCCTTTTTGGTTTGAAAGCTCATGTACCATTTTAGTGTTTGGCTTTCATAACTTTTGGAAAAGAGAGGGACGAAAGATACCAGAGGGACAGTCAAACTCATAGATCGAAAACAAACTGACAACGCCATGGCCAAAAACAAAAAGACAAACAGACAAATAATAGTACAGATGACACAACATAGAAAACTAAAGACTAAGCAACACGAACCCCACCAAAAACTGGGGGTGATCTCAGGTGCTCCGGAAGGGTAAGCAGATCCTGCTCCACATGTGGCACCCGTCGTGTTGCTTATGTTATTTCAAATCCGGTAAATAGTCTAATTCGGTAGGTCACATTCGTGAAAAGGGAAGGGTATTGTAGTTACGACATAAGGAACATATCCGATATCATCTGTGAAACGGTTATTCCATAACGGTCAACCAACTCGTGATGGCGTCCGTAAAATTTACGAAGGAATGATTTCAACTTCACCATTTGGAACTCTTGGTTTAATAGCTTCCTTGTTTGAAAGTTATGTTATCGTATGAACGTGAATGTTATTAATGTGAGTTGGTTGACCGTTATGGAATATCTGTTTCACAAATGACGATGGATATGTTCCAATTAACGTAACTACAATCTCGTCCTCTTCCCCCGAATGTGATCTACCAAATAAGACATATCACTGGGTTTGTACTTACATGAGCAACACCACGACGGGTGCCACATACGGAGCAGGATCTGCTTACCCTTCCGGAGCACCTGAGATCATCCCCAGGTTTTGATGGGGTTCGTATTGCTCAGTCTTTTGTTTTCTATGTTGTTATGTGTACTGTTGTATGTCTGTTTGTCTTTTTCTTTTTTTTCCCTGGCGTTGTCAGTTTATTTTACTACTTTTCTTGAACAAGTTTTATCTCTCCGTGTAAACCGTTTTATTGTTCAAAAAGTATTAATATTTTCTGAGTTTTGTTATTATTCCGTGTACGAAAACTCTTTATATATATATACACGGATTTCATTTTCAATTAATGCAAGAAGATGTTGCAATATATCTAATTGAATAATGCTCTATGGTGGCTACGGCGACCACAAAAAAAGAAATGACCAAAAGATTTCGTCCACGTAAGACTCGCCAGTAGCTCTTGAATTAAATTAGTTGGAGGGCAAAATAGATGATGATGATGATGATGATGATGATGATGATGATGATGATGATGATGATGATGATGATGATGATGATGATGATGATGATGATGATGATGATGATGATGATGATGATGATGATGATGAGGATGAGGATGAGGAGGAGGAGGAGGAGGAGGAGGAGGAGGAGGAGGAGGAGGAAGATTATCTATCTTAGGCCATCTAAAGCTTTTGGTAGAAAAAGGTTTTGATAAGGCTGGCATTCGTCCCTACTTCTAGCGCAAACATACTTTTTTCTGGATTATTGTCATATAAACAAAACCAAACACGTTATAACCAATATTCAAACACCTTCACATAATTTACATCAGCTGCTTTTCATTTACGCTCTACTGATTTCTATTTGACTTTCAGAACTTTTAGCGTTTTTTTTTCTTTCATTTATCTTTATTTTTCTTTTGTTGGTGTACCAACATCCCTCGTCATGACGAGGGCTAACCATCCGATACAATTAAGCACGGTTTTTCAATATTGATTGCATTAGATAACTCGAAGTACGTTGTTTAAGTATTTACAGTTATAGGTTCGTGTTTATAAGCATATAATTAAACCTTAATGATACTATATTTTCTAATGTTCTAATGATAGATGAAAGAACGTTGCATTGCACCAAGCTAAAGGAAGATTACATAAAGATCACACGTATAAACACAAATGGCAAACATCAGATCCATTCAGTATTTGGGACAAAAAGACAAGTGACACCTTAACAAAGAGAATAAAATGCACCGCGGGACGCAGCTTGACACGACCGCAGAGGTCGAACCCTGAACAGTTGGGGCATGTATGGACACTTGATTCAAGCTTGATACAGTTCTGGATTTTGATTGTGATTAAATATTTGACACAGCATAGGTTTCTGACACAGAATGAATGTGGTCAAAGAACTGAAAAATATTAATCCAAAATCTAAATACACAGTTAGATTCAACATATCCATGTACACAAAGAATTTAATTCATTTCTTTATCAATGAACAATATTAGAGAAGTTTTTAAAGGGGTTCGCTTCATAAAAAATAATATATTTATATATCATTCTGAAATTAATATAAACAGAATAACAAACAAACCTAACAGGAAGTTCTTCAAAACATTTACAACGAAAAAATGAAAATAACAATTTCCAAAATCTCATTCATCATTAATACAATGTCTTTAAAAAATCTTTAAAACTTACGTTTTATTATTTTCTAAAATATTTGATAATGAATAGTAAATTTCAAACTTTATTTAAACATTATTAGAATTTGATGCTGTATCCATTTTCAACTATGAATCTACCTACAATTTATATTAATTGTGCAATTCATATTTCAATCACTAACAAGATTGATACAGCTCTGAATTTTAATTGTGATTACATTTTTGACACAGCATAGGTTTCTGACACAGAATGAATGTGGTATAAGAACTTAAAAAATTGACCTTTACCTATTATGGTCAAATATCCAAAATTAAGATACAAGGTTAGATTCAACATATCAGAGAACCCCAAGAATTTAATTTGATGAAATAAACAAAATTTAATTTTGGACCCTTTGGACCTAAATGTGGACCAATATGATAACGGGGCCCAAAATCCAAAATCTAAATACACGGTTAGATTCATCATATCAAAGAACCCCAATTTTGGTTCACACAATTGAAAATATTCAATTAAACGACGAGTTAAAACTGAAGTTACTGTATATGCACAGGTAAATTAAAACGTAGATAATTGCGATGAGAACATGTTATGAAGCAAACATATTTCTGTTCTTTACGCATTTCCTGAAGACGTTTCAAGTCCTTTGCCAAATAACTCATTATGTGTGAGTGGAAGATATTGGCACTTACTGTGCATATCTTTTAAACCAGTCAAGCAAGAACCTTGAGCTGCCGCTTTACGGCGTATCAAATGGAAGACAGCACCTGTGCGACCTGACTGATCAAGAGTTTTTGTCGACACATAGCAAAAACATCCTGTATCGACTGACTATCTTTTGTCGTAATCTCCACCATTTAGAGACTGCAATAAGGAACCTAGAACCTGCTGCACATATAAAACAGAAATTACATTCATCCTGGCACTTAATTGACATTGGAATGCTAATTTTTCAATCTGTTTGAGAGGCTGTGTAAAAGTTGCCTGTGAGTATCCCATGACTTGACAGTATTCTGACCGTGTGTCTGTCTTAACATAGGTTCCAATAAATCTTCTAATGTTGGAACTTTTAAAAACTCGACTGAACTATCATGAATTGGAAAACAATTCTTATAGTCCTATTTATATGCAGAAATTATCTCTGGGTTTTTTAAACGCCAAGAATGTTCTAAAATATCAACCTGCGCTTGGTCTAAAACCAAACAAATAATACATCTCTCTTTAGCAATATCCTCCTTAAATATTTTGGATAAAACATTTCCATTATTGTTCGCCTGCCCTTGATCAGACTTATCATGCTTTTTAGAAAGAGAAATACAACCATGTACATTTGAATTTTGTACAGAGACATGTTTTAAAAACCGTTCAACTATTTGTGACATTTTGTTCGCGCATCGTTGTCAATATAATGGAATTTGATGCGACTGTCGTACAAGTGAGAGGTTTAGCGCTTTAATACCAGGTTCAATCCACCATTTTCTACATAAGGAAATGCCTGTACCAAGTCAGGAATATGACAGATGTTGTCCATTCGTTTGATGTGTTTGTGTTTTTGATTTTGCCATTTGATTAGGGACTTTCCGTTTTGATTTTTCCTCGGAGTTCAGTAGTTTTGTGATTTCACTTTTCACATTTACGATTATTAATCGTATCAAATTATTCAGTGTTCTCTTTAGCTACAATTCTTCATCAGACCTTATATCCAGATCATTTCTTTCACATAGGTGAACATGTAAAGATATTTCTGAATGGCATTTGCAATAAAAATAAAATTTAGAAAAAGTAGCAAGTGAGAAGTGATCTTCATATCTCTTACACATGCAATGTTTCAATTGTTACTTGCATATACAACAATATATATTGATAAGATAAGTCACGGACATAATTCATAATACATCAATATAATGAACTTTCCTTATCTAAGTTCATTTATGCAACCTATCCTAAACGTTCGGTTTATTTGCTTCAATATCTATCAGTGTTGAGCGTTCATTCTAAAAGTATTAAAACAATGAAGAGTACACCGTTCTAACAGTAGTCAGTGTTATACTTTTTATTCAGTGTATAAAGATTGTTAATTTATACAAGTTTTAAAACACCCAAACA